AATCCGTTAGTCTGAACTTGATTTGGGGAAGTTTGGTCGATTTGAATAATTTGGTAAGTTATCATTCTTGATTAACCACAATCTCCTTGATGATATCCTAAGCTTTACCACATGTTTCTTGTTTGAATATACTTTCCAGAAGATGAGAAAGTGAGTCACATTAGATGCCAAACTTCTTAACATTAGGGGCTCATTTGGTACGCGGGAATGAGTGAGAATGGAATGCAATTCCAACTCTTTTTTTCCGCGTACCAAACACGATGTATTTTAGATGTTAGAATTAAAATTCCCACTTCTTATCAATTCCCATTTTATGTGGGAATTGTCATTCCCAACCATTCAACAAGGAATTGATATTCCCACTTAAGTGGGAATAAAAATAATCAAATAAATTCCAATTATACCCTCCTGATATTCCCACTTAAGTGGGAATAAAAATAATCAAATAAATTCCAATTATACCCTCCTTAAAAGATACAAATAGATATAAATTAAGTGGGAATAAAAATAATCAAATAAATTCCAATTATACCCTCCTTAAAAGATACAAATAGATATAAATTTCCATATGAAAATTATTTTATAAAAAATTAACTTATCTTAAGCTACTAGTACAATTATATAAATAAATATAATCATGAATATAACTTGCCCAAGTTCCAATATACAAACATCCTTCCTAAGTAAATTTATATCACTAACCTTGCCATAGTTCTAATATATTGTGATGTTATTTTTTAATAAATCTCTGATATCGTTCATTCGTTCCTAAGAAGTATATTAACGCGGACCTTGCCTTAGTTCCAATATCTTTTACTAAACTAGATATACTTTGGAGTGACAAACTAGTTTATCATTTTGCAATTTCAAAACTTAATATGTTGATACTTTGATGGTTGTCCAATTATTTTACTCATACTATTTTATGGATATTTTGATTAGAATTTGGACTAATAACTTGTTTATGCATATAAAATTTTAAACTATAGATACTATCATTTATATTAATTTTGACATATGGATGATAAATTGCACTTTTCCCCCTTTATTCCCCCTTAACCATGAAATCTCAAAATTTCTTTTATCAGGAGATGTTGTGAAGAGTGCCCAATTATATGCAATATCTCTTATAAGGCATTCTTCTCTTCACTAACATACAATGATGTTAGTAACATTAGCTGCCCGTACAAATAATAGACATGTAGCACTAGAAGTTAGAAAAGTGAAATTATAATTATTTTTAATTAAAAATAATTTATATGAATTTTTTTTTTCAATTTGTAAGCCAAAAGTCCTAAATTGTTGCCGAAACGGTGTGCCAGAATATAACTATTACATGAAAATTTATTTCTCTAAGGAAAAAATATCATTTCTATAAAACTTATTTTTCTAAAAAATAAATTATTTAGTCATTTTGAAAATATTTTTATTTATTTTTTTTTAAATTTTGTGTTTTGGTAAGGGCATTATTAGAAAACTAAATTTTATTCTCACTGGTATAATGCCAAACGTGAGAATAAGAATAAGATTGTCATTCTCGTTTCATTATCTAAACGCGTCCAAACATGAGAATGAGAATGTGCATTCCATTCCCACATCTATTCAATTTCATTCCTACCTTCTTTCCATTCTCACTTGACTCCATTCCCGCGTACCGAACGAGGCGTAAGTGTCTCTCCATAAAAGATTAAATTAATACACGCTCATGCATTGGATACTAGTTAATAGTAACTCCTCTCTCTCTCTCCTCGAGTAGATACTCGGTCTAACTATTATATGTATGATAGTAGTATATACTCACTCATATAATATATATGGTATATAGGTGATAGTATTATTGGTATACTATTAGTATATGGAGGAGAGGAAGAGAGAGAGAGAGAGATTAATGGGTATCCTTGTCATAGGAGGGGATTTCCTCATTGACGCCTCTAAAATCACATGATTGAGCAATATTATGGATGATCCGCTCCGTTAAACTTGATCTACATATTCTAAAACCCCAACACACCAAGTTTTGGGTGAATCCGTCGTCGTTTGACCCTCCATCGAGCCATGTGAAAAGTTTTATTCATTCAAAACCGTTAAAATTAATACGAGTGGATGAAGGGTCAAACAACGACGGGTTCACTCCAAACTTGGTGTGTTGGGGTTTTAGAATATGTAGATCAAGTTCAACGGAGCGGATTATCCATAATATCGCTCAATCATGTGATTTTAGAGGTGTCAAGGAGGAAATCTCCTCCTATGACAAGGATACCCATTAAT